GGGGGCAGCGGCGGCGGCGGGCTGGCGGGCCAGGGCCGTCGTCCTAAGGCACGCTGTGCCGCTGTCAGGCTCACCGCTACTGCCGCCGCCGCCGCCGCCGGCCGATGCGTCGCATGGCTCCTGTTGCAGCAGCGGATGCTGCTGCTGCAGGCGGTGCAGTGAGGCGTTCCCGAAGCCATGCCATGGCCCTGCAGCGCCGCCGCCAGTGGCGCCAGCGGTGGCGCCAGCGGGTGGGGACTGTAGTGCTAGTGGCGGCAGCGGCGCCGCCGGCGCGGCAGTGGCGGCGGCGGCGACAGTTGTAGCAGTGGCGGCGGAAGGTCGTGGGCCGGCGGGTACAGCTGCCCATGCTGGAGATAATGTTGGTAGCGCGGCCGAAGCATGGATAGGAACCGTCGCCGCCAGCGCCGCCGCTGATGCTGGCGCCGTCGCCGCTGAGGTACTGCACAGCTGTCGCGGTTGCTGGCGGTGCAGCGGCGGCGGCGTCACTGCTGGGCTGGCTCGTGCGGCGAAAGGCGCTTGCGCCGCCGCCAAGTGTCTGGACAGTTCGGCACCTGCCGTACCAGGCGCGGCCATCGCCGTCGCCGCCGCCGCCGCCGCCGCCAAGGCAGACGCATCCGTACCGGCAGCCGGCACCGGTAAAGGACCGTCTATCGACGTCGCCCAACATCCATTCTCCTGTGGTGGAGCGATTCCATCCCCGCCATCGCCGCCGCCGCCGCCGCCACCGCCGCCAGTGCTTGCGATTGCCGCTTCAATCGGAGCCGCCGCCGCCGCCGCGGCCCCCGGAGATGTCCTGCCCAGCGCCATGGCGGGAGGACCAGTCTCGGGGCGTCCCCTGCCTGCAGCTGCCTTCACGACCGCTGCAGCCGCAACCGCCACTTCCTCGGCCGGCGGCGGCGGCGGCGACGACTGCGCTGCCGTACTTTGTAGTCCGGACGTCAGGAGCTCGGCAACAGTTTCAAGTACGCCGCGCAGCTGCGCTGTGCCAGCATCCTCCGTACCAGATGCCGTACCCATCTGTCGTGCATGCGGCATTTGTACGTCCTGTTGGTGCTGGTGAAGACGGAATCGATGCGGCGATAGCGCTGATATAATCGCGAGGCGGCTGGCCGAGGATAGCTCCAGGGTGGGCATTGTTGATTGTCGAAGGGCAGGGTTAGATGCAATTGCCAACTGAAGCAACTCCCCAACCGTCAAGTTAACCGTAAGCTCTAACCGTCTTCCGTACAACGGCAAGATCTCATTAGTCAGAACAGGCAAGCCGGGTGGCGAGATGACAGCCGCCGCAGGTACATGTCCACAAAGCGAGCTCAATAAGGCCCCCGGGGCCGAATGCGCTGGTGGCTGACCCACGGGTCTGCGCTCCGTGCGTTGCTCAAGCCGTGCACCGGCGCCGTACAGTGACGGCAGCGGCGGCGGCACCGATGATGTACGTTTACGCGCCGCCGTGCATGAGGTCTGCTCCCACGGCCGATCGGCAGTCAATGTACGGATAACTCCATCCTCGTCCGAGACGGAATACGACGACGGCTCAGGGTTGCAGTACGCCTGCACCGCTACCGTCGCCGCCGTCGCCGCGACGCTACTCGGAGGCTGTACTACAGCTGCTGGCGGAATGGCAACACAGCCATTGCCCAACACGCTATCCGTCGGCGCCCGCCACGTCGCCCGCGAAACGACGACTGAGGTACACGGGCTAATCAACGAAATGAAGGGTGCAGGGGCGCTGCGGAGAGGCGGCGGCGGCGGTGGCGCTGGCGGAGGCTCCGCTGGCGTTATCGTATGCCGCTCATGACGCCGTCCCGCATGCCGCTCCACCCGCACAAGCTCCGCCTCCGCCGCCGCCGCCAGTGCCTCCAGGCCGTTCGACGGTACGATAAAGTCATCACCGTCAGGCCAGCGTGCCGTCGTCCCGCCGTGCCGCTGCCGCTGCCGCGACGACGCCGGTGCACGCTGCTGCGCTGTGCCGCCGCCGCCGGGTCGCACACCATTGTCGTGTCGCAGCTGATGGTGATGTTTTAGATAGTTTCGATGGTTTAGAAGGTTTGAACTCTGCTGCTGTTGCTGTTGCTGTTGCTGTTGCTGTTGTTGTTGCTGCTGGCCGCTCAAAGGCGGCTCCTGGCTGCCATCGTTACCCTCCTCCCCCCCCGATGCATTGCAAAGATTGGCGCGACCTGCGCCGCCACCGCCACAGCCTCCTTGCTCGTCCTCTTCCGTACTGACGTCAACGCCGCCATCGCTGCCGTACCGTAAATACGACGTCGTATTCCCCCGTAGTGGCCAACCTCGTCGTACTCCTGAGCCACGGCGGCGGTGACCGTCCTGACGCGCTTCGGCCACTTTAGGCGCCTGCTCGTGCTGCTGCTGCTGCTGCTGGTGTAGCGACGACATCCGTGCTACTGCACTTGCTACTGCGGTCCCGTTGCCGCCGCCATCACTGCCGTACAGCCATTGTCCGCCGCTGGCGCGCTTTGCCCCATGGAATCTTTGGCTTAGCGGCCGCTGGGTTGTCGTCGCTCCGACGGCGGCGGCGGCAGTGCCGATGGCGGGAGCCGTCAGCGTTGCCGCCGCCGCCGCCGTCACTGTAGCGGCGGCGGCAGCCCCCAATGGCGACAAACCCCCCAGTAGTGCGGCGTGCTCGCGGGCGCTCAACAAACTGATAAACCGGCGACCATCCGGTGACTGTCGTACATTCCATTCACACGCGTCGTACGTTTATATTTAGTGAAGTACGACAGAGGGGGGAAGCCGGAAGGGGTTCAGTGGACCTCAACAGCTTTGGAAGTGGCAGTGAGCACGAGTGAACAGAATGCTCTAAGTGCTTGAGGATGGGGAATGTACGAGTTTAGCTTCAGTCAACACATTATGAAAACCCTAAAACCGGAAGGCACGACTACCCGGTCTGACGTTGGGTTTATATTTAGCTTACTTCGTAGTCGGCTTCTCGGGGCCGACACAGAGGCCGAGGGTCCCTAGGTTCCAAGACGCAGCAGGCAAGATGGATCTGGATCTGGATCTGGCTCGCTCGCTGGGCCTTTGGCCGCGGAACAGGATCATCCACCGATATCTATCCTTCCACGAATATCTATCCTTCCACAAATATCTATCCTTCCACGAATATCTATCCTTCCACGAATATCTAAATCACTCGTACAGCGTCTGGGCTCCTCCTAACCGGAGGTCCGCACCCACCTATTAATTTGGTGCTCTGTTCGGATTCCCCTTCCACTGCTACATTGCGCTCATTCATTCATTCGTTCACTAATTCATCAAATCAATCATTTACAAGGTGTTTCCTAATGGGAAATTTAGCTGCGGGGGTAGGCATGAAATCACTTATACAACCCTTTAATTTCGACCCAGATCTATATATTGTATAAAAATATACAACTGACCCAGATCGTATATCGCAAACCCAAATTGGGTGAGGTCGACCCAAATCAGATCCACGAAGAAGCTGCAGATCAGATCCAGATCCAGATCCACAGATCGTCAATCGGGCGGCCAAGCACCGAACAATTACCCACCTGGTAACGGAAATCCTTGCGGCGCCCCGCCTCCTTGCCCCCCGCGCGGATCTTCCACCAGCAGCGCCAACCTGTAAGTGGTTGTGCGCGGTTTCCGTTACAACCGGCAGTTAGTTAATTAGTTAGCTAGTATTGGGTCAAGTGGGTATGACAGTTGGTAGTTAGACAGGCAAACGTCCGAGCAATGGAGAACAGTTCATACCGGAGACCGAAAGTGTTTTAAAGCCCATTCGCCGGTCACTTTTTGCGCATCATGCCATGCCGTATTGCCGTACAGTACCTCAATTCAAAAGGATATGAAAATACCAAATCCTTGTTATGTCGTACTCGTACCTTCCGGCAAGCCCATCTCTCCAGGATTTACAAAATGAGTCACAGGGCCCGCGGCTTCACCATCCTCCAATGCAGCGCCGGCGGCAGCAGCGGCGGCGACGTCGCCGCCGCGGACTGATGTCAGTCTGGACTTACTGCCCCCACCAACGGCGCCGGCGCCGCCATTAGCGGACCCAGACAATCGCCGCTGAAAGCCGTTCACCGAGTCGTCATGTAATGTACGGCGCTTACGAGCCGGCCATAGCAACGGCCGCGGCTGTGCTGTGCGCAGCATCCCCGGCAGCGGCGCGTCGTGGGTGGTACCGTCGGTTGCACTTCCAGCAGCGGCCGCAGCGGCGGCGGAGCTTCCGCAATCGCCGCCATTCTCCCAATCCACGGAGTCTGTTGCATCCGAAGAGTAAGCTGCATCGTCTGTACGGCAATGATGGTTTTGGTTGACATGGGAGGTGGGGGCCGGGGCAATCACTGCTGCCGCCGCCGTCGCCGCCGCTGCCGCACCATCCGATGGGGCAAGCGGCGGCGGGTGCGGCCCAGAAGCAGCGGGAGCCCCTTCCGGGTCTTTGTACGGCTCCTGCGCCTCTACCTTTGCCTTGTGCTCATAAGCAGCGCCGGCGGCGGCGGCGGTGGCGGCTGCGCCTGAAGGGGCTGCCTCCTCCGCCGACGGCTCGTCCTTCCATCCCGTGACAAGCGCGTACGGCAACTTGGTCCCCAGGACAGCATCCGTCAGCCTGCCGTACTCGGACTGGCTCGCCTGACGCCTACACCAGCTACTGTCACCACCAGGATGGCGATTGCATTCTTCCATACGCCGTACGGTGTACGGCGTAGGGACCGTACGCCGTACAATGCGCCGACCAGGGCCTCTTAGGTGCTACTGCAAATCCGGCACACCGTACTGTAGAGCCTCAGTCCATAAGTCCTCAGCCCATATAAGCTAGAGAAGAAAGTCAAGTCGTTAAGGGAGAGGCGAGGTCCCAAGTTGGTGTTAATCTCCCAGGACCTGTACTTCTGATCTGAGGGCGGATTCAGGCTCCTGGCTCCGCTCCCTGTAGGATTACAGTGTTGTGTATTCCAGGAGACGGCCTGTTGATAAACCTTGTAAGGAATTTCTTTTCTTATGAAAAAATTTGACCTGCGTGACCTTGTTGACGCAGACCCAGAAAGCTTTACGGTGCACGGCCTATGGCTGCGTGGAGAAACAGGAGAAAGGGCGATACAAGGCATGTTAGGGCAAGGATGGGAACCATTTGAGTTGTGAGCATGATACGCACCAAGCAGGTTTGACAAGGAAAATTGCTGACTTGGGAGCCCGCGAGCGCTCTGAGCGCCCTTAACGCTTAAGCAGCGTTGACCTTACGATGGTTGGGGCGATGGCGTGTACCTTCTCCGACAGTTTGACGCAAGAAGTTTCGCATGAGTGATTACATCATGTTAAAATGGTGACTACAAAGGTCTGCCAGGCAAAAGGACAGCCATCAACACGCGCGACGGTTGGTGCATGCAGGTCCACATCGTGCAGACTTGCAGTCCGAAACTAATATGCACCCGTATGCATTTCAGACGTTTATGTTGGATACACGCAAACGAAGCATAAGCATATGGACTAAAAATTGGGCGTTTGCTGCCGTGGAGGATGGAGCCATACAAGAGCACGGCATGCAGCACGTACCAGCGTACTTGCGGTAAATATAATGGCCTTATGCAAATTAACCGGACATAGTTCAAGCGCCTACGCCAGAGGCGCTGCCTGGCGAAGTAGCACTGCACAGCACAAACCTTCCCATGGCTTAATTATGGCGGGGTGCTTACAAGCCAAACATACCGAAGCTAAGCTCGCGCTTGGTAGAGAAGCGAAGCTAGGGAAGGTTGTGTACTAGTGCAACGGAACAGTCAATTTACAGTGTCCGCTCGTCACAGCTAGGTTTTGGGTTTGGTCTGAAAGATGTAAACTGAATAAAACCATGCAAGTAATACCTCCATGCATTACCATGGGAAATCGTAAGTTGTTCAGAGGAGAGATGGTTGGAGTACGAGGATGCGGACACAACCCCAAATTGCTGGGCGCAAGGTGCAACTCTGCAAATTTTCCAGAGATAAATGAATTATTTTACCATGTGCAATTATAAATATGACTGGTGAGGATATGCGTATGCGCTGGATTCTCCTGTTGGAGGGTAAGACATGCATGTTTGCACGCTGCATGACCTCGGGACTGATATGCGGAACATCCACATTCTAAATATGAGGGACAATTCCGTGATTTATTACACCTTTATTACATGAAGCTTGCTCAACTGCTGGAACGTCGGAGGTTTTACCATGTACAGTTCACAGCCTTTCCATGGTGCTTTCGTTCACATGTAAGCTGTTCGTTTACATGTAATCTTGTACAAGATGTCGAATTCGCCCTACATGTATGTTTAAATAAAGCATTGCTCGTCCAGACTGGACCTAACGCCATCTCCGTAGCTACAGCTTTGCGCCATTCCCGGCGGACATACCTGACACCATTTTGTTTATCTTCCGCGGTGTGCCTATCGGCCTAGACAGCTAATAACTGCTTCCGGAACGGGTACCTTCTGTAAGTATATTGAATGCATAGTTGACGGCCTAGCTGATCACCTGTCCTAAATACGATGATTCTCGTCGTTTAGCATGATGCCGAAGACTAGGACAGCTTGAGGTTCCAAGCATCGCGTCCCCTACCAGGGATTCCCTGGTTGGAATACGCATCATACGCATCCGATGCGTATGACAGGAGTGCTTTATAAAGTTCCTATGCTTTAAGCGTTACATGAAATTAATAGCCGTTGAGGACCATTATAATCTTTGCTCGAAAATGCCCAGCCATCCGCCGCCGCCAGCTTCCACGGACAAGAACCGAAGAAGACGACAAAACGCGCCTTACAAACTCCAGGAAAGCAGAGAATGTTTGTGCCCCCTTCTGGCGTGAGCTCTGCCCCTCAAAAGCAAAACATGCTTCCCCCCGGTTCCCTTAGCACTAGGCCCAACGCACCTCGTCGCGCGCGTCCCGGATTCATCCGGCGGTTTCAAGGGACATCGCAAAGGGTTTGGACAACGCGAAGAGGTCCGCGCTAAGAATGCAGAACGCGCTTGCATTACTCGGGTATTACTGTGGTAGACAAGCATCTGACGAAAGGGTTGTCGCTGATTACAATGCTCAGCTGAACATGTCATATAGACACTTTATGGACCCTAAACACCCTATATGTCTAAGAGACGGGAAGTGCTCCTACCTAAAGGTTCTCCTGCCTGAAAGAGCACCTGACGGTGTTCGCGGGATGCCGCTTTTACCGCCGTTCAATTGTTACACAAAACAACAGGCACTACTGGTAACACACAGACCGATGTCCCTGGGAAATCCCGGGTTCGAGACCTGTGAGGGTCGAAAACACTTCCGATTGGCTGGAAGGTGAGAGTGCCATTGGTCGATGGAAGGTGGTGACCTGGGGTAAAGTAGAACTGCGAGCTCTTCAAGAATGGATTTGGGCCGCCGTCGATCCGGCAGATTCCGTTGGATGCTGGTGGCGGGTGTTGACTAGGGTGACTGTATGCGAGTGGCCCGAAATACCGGGGAAGGCAGGGTTTCGCCAGGTAGCGGCCACGAAGGGTAAACCCTAACATATGAACCCCCCGGTCCCAGATCAACACCAGCGCAACGGTGAACATTTAATTCGCACGGCGATTATCACGCGCGGGACGGTGCATGATGAGTACGTGTTGAGAGCGTTGGGAGCGACAGGAAAACGTCCTTGAGAGACTTCCCAAGGTGACTTTGAGAGATGACTTGAATTGCGATATGTCTTTGGTATGCTTTTACCTTTTTACCTGGCTCGTGGATCACCGTAACTCTCCATCGAGCGGTACTGAAGCGAGAAGGCGAACAGTTCCTCATGCAGCTTACTACCACGCGGGGCACATCAGCGGGGGAACATTTCCGTACAGCATTCGTACAATCCGACTTACTGAAGCAAGACTCTACCGCGACCATCCAGCGACGACGAGCACCTAAAATTGATAGATAGAATACGTGAAAAAATGCCTTCTTTTTTCCAATCTAGATGGAATACAGGCGCAGCAATTCCGCGATTACTGTTTGAAAGGATCGCGCTACTCAGCATCTGCACAAACCTTACACTACACATCCAAACGTTGCAACAACAACGTACAACAACAACAGAAAACTCACGCTGTGTCATCGGGCCCGTCTAAAACCCTACTCTTGCTGCCTGTGGCTCCGAGACCAAACGCAGCACACTAACACTTGTACATTTCATACAATTCTCAAGGCATTTCAGCCGTGAGATATTCCTTCTGCCCCCTTCACTCCTGACTCGTAGCTGTCGTCCGTTCCCAAAATCCCCTGCCATCTCCAAACCCTAAAACCGCTCAAGGAATACTTAATGAGAGTCTCAAGTTAAGCGAACAAACGCGCAACCAACAAAACAACCCAAAGCTGCCTCTCCCCCCCCCAGCAAAAAGATCCGCTTAGATCAGCGAACCTGAACCCAACCTGCCACCTCCGCCATTCCCATCTCACTTGCAGGTAGGTATTGGTATTGGTATTAACCCCCCAAGCTCCTTAAAATTATTCCTCATAAGGCCCAGACTCTCTGCACGGATCCCAAAACCCAAAAGGGGGGAAAAGGGTCTAAAACCCTAAATCACCGCCACGCTCCATGCGCCATCCCTTGGTTCGACACCCCGGTAACAGTCCCATGCCCAAAGATATAGCTCTTTCACCATGCGCCGTACGGCAACAAAACCCTAGCTCCGGAAGGCTCGAGGGGGCCCCCCTGGACACCGCCCAGGGCGGCCTCGCCACGTCAGCATCCGTACCATGTACAGTCGTACAACATGGGCGATGAGTCATACCACGGCAGATGTGTCGTACATTCATCATGCGGCGTGACACCACTTGGCCAACTTTCTCAAAATCCGTTTTCCCAGGTGGGAAAACAGTACGGAAGTGCAACGACCAACTGAACAATAACTAACCGAAGCATTTGTGGTGTGACGATAGGAGCTGCTGAGGCACTGTTGGTGATTGTGGTGGTTAAATGACGGTGCTGTTCGTGTTCGTGGTGTTGGTAGTGATGGTGATGGTGGTGACATGATGTGAGAAATCCTGAATGGAATGTACGGCCAGTTGCGGTCGACGACGACAACCGTAAGTTCGTTGGAAGCTTTCCCTTTTCCTCTGCACATGCGCATAACACGTCTGTATGTCTGTCTGTCTGTCGTGAAGACGAAAGGAAATACATCAACGTAAACCGACCAACTCCCAATTCCCAACTCCCGACCTAAATCCCCGGCTTCCCCAAGGCTGCACGCCAGCTGACTGACAGACTGACATCCTGACACACCACCACCACCACCACCACCATGACCATCACCACCATCACCACCACCACATCACGACCACCACTACCACCGCAACAGCACTTCAAGCCGTCCAGTCACACTCCAAGACACACCATTCCGCTATCCGCTCCAACGATCTCGCTGGGATCTGGAAACAGACACGAGCGAACACGCGCACGATGATGACGAGGAGGAGGACAAAAAGCTCCGTACCAGCCCCCTCCGCGACCCACGCCTTGACGGCCCCCCTCCGCGACCCCTTCACCACCATCCAAGTAGCCCGCGCCGCACGTCGATAAAACACAGTGAACTGCCACCCAAAGTAAATTCGGGCTCTGTTACTTCCCCCCCCCCAACCCCCCCATCCCCTACCCAGTGTGGGTGAGTGTTGCCAGGACGGTGAAAGCGCCGGGGAGGAAAATGTATGTGTGTGTGTGTTTTGTGGGGGGGAAGGGAGAGGGGCCAAGTCGAAGCGCGGGACTTTCCGACGGTGTACGGGATTCACCTGCGCCGTACGACTGCACTAGGAGGCTGTGTATAACCTTCAGCTGCCGATTGGATCCACTCCTTCCCCCCTCCCGGACTTGCCCGAATCCAATGGATCCATACCACCTCTCCCCCCCTCCACTTCCACCTCTCCCCCTCCTCCTCTTCCTTCCCCCCCTCCACTTCTAACTCCCGACCTCCTCCCCACCACCTCCACTTCTTCCTCCACCCCCACGCCCTATTTTTTTCTAAAAGAATGGATCCACCTTGCCCACCCCGATGGACTGAGCCACCTCCGGCGCCATCGGCACCAGTATTAGAATGGCCGCCAGCACCGCCGCCGCCGTGGCGGTTCGTTTGCCGTCCCCCAGGGGGGTCACATTGTCCTGCAGGTGGGGGGGTTAAGTGGGTTTTAAGGCAGGGTGGGGGTGAGTGGGAGAGTGGTAATGGATCGATCGGAATTATCGTACGGCGATGCAGAAGAGGAACCAAAAGGTCGATCAATTGTTGCCGTACCGGAGTTCAGTATATATACATATATATGTATGTATATGTATATATATACATACATATGAGCAGCAGAGGAATTGGGACATATATATACATACATACATATGGACAGCAGAGGAAGTGGGACAGCAAACGGAAATGAGAAGTAAAGCGTGTGTGTGCGTGTATGGGTCTGAAGTGTTGTGTGGGTTGCGTGTAAGCCGCGAGCAGACAAATTTACTTATTTATTTTAAAAAATAAATAAAATGCAGATCGGATGTGAGCGCGCTGGTGTCAGCACGTGATGCGCATATCATGTAGCATATTTTACATAGCGTATGTCATGTATCCTTGCCGTACCTTGATGTACTTCTCTGCCGTACGCTGGCAGATAATGACGTACAGTCCGAACGGCAGCGAAAGGCTTGATCCTAACAGCCCCAGGCCTAGTCCCACATAAGTGAAGAAGGAAGACAGCGCGAGCGCCTGATGAAAAAGCAAAACACAACAAGTCAGGAAAATTTGTTTTTTTCACGGGGGGGAGGAGGGGAGGGCGGAAAAGAGAGGGAGGGGAGAGAGAGGGAACGCAAGGCCGGGGGACCGGGTCGAAAGGGATGTCAGGTCTACACAAGATTGGAGTATCTATCCAACAATACCACCCAATTTTCCTTACAAATATATAAACAATTTTCATACGTTTTTTTATATTTTTACTTTATACAATTTTATACATTCTATACAAATTTCTAGAAAAAAGACACAAAGTGCGTTATGGTCCGCAACCCCTACGGAAAGACCTGGGGAATAAAAGTGCAATATTTTTTCCAATGTATGCAAAGTACTTGCGAGGTGCAGATATGTCGTACATGAAAGTACCTGAACTCTTTTTACCTAAATTCCAATGAAACCCAAAGTGCAACATCATCATCATCATCATAACATTATATCCACCACCATCATCATCATCATCCCCATCACCTGCCTCCATGGTGCCAATAAAACGTCTCTTCGCAAACCCTGAGTGGCGGGGCGAGCGTCAGCAGCACGCCCAAGCTTTCCGTACGGCAAAAAATTACGTTCGTACTACTTCGCGGTGTCTTCCTTTTCTTTCACCCATTATTGGAAAAACTCTAAAACCCAGCAGAGAGCTCAGCAGAGCGAGTTTCACCTACCCCCCACCCCCATGTCAGTGGTTCGTTGTGGCTCCCCTAGGAGCAGCAGCAGCAGCAGCAGCAGCCCGAAGATGCAGCACTTTAGTTCTGGTTTTCACTACCACTCACCTTGCATAAGAACGACTCCCCTTTTACCCCTTCTCCCCCCCACACCCAACCCCCCAGTAGCCCTCTTCCCACCCCCACCCCCACCTCCACCCCCCCTACCCCCACCTCCACCTCCACCCCCCCTACCACCCACCCCCACCTCCACCCCCACCTCTACCCCCCACCTGTCTTCCGTACGCGGCCTGCACCATGCGCCCCCCGTCCAGGGAGCCCACCGGCAGCAGGTTGAGGGCGGTTGTGACCAGGCCGCACCAGCCGGCGATCACCAGTGGGCTGATCAGAACCTCCTCGGTTCCCGCGGTGATCTGTGTGTTGGGGGGAGGGGGGAGGGGGGTTTGGAAGACGAACCACGTGAACGAGTGAAGCTGCTGCCAGGGCAAGAGTGTACCAGACGGGGGGGGGCCGGACCAGGGAAGGCGGGTGGAGGTAGAGAGGTGGAGGTGGAGGGGGGAGGGCGGGGGAACACGTGCAAGGAAAACACGGAATCATCTGCCACCGTCCGCGGTCCTTTTGAGGGGATGTGAAGACTTAGGGTTATAACCATGTGAACGAGTGAGTGAAGCTGGTGCCAAGAAGGATAGACTTAGGATACACCCAACAGAAGTATGAATGAAGTTAAGTCAGAGGTGGGGTTGGGAGGGGGGTCGGGAGAGGAGATGCAGGTGAAGATCGAACACCTACAGACGTCATACTCGGCTCACAAATATACACACAAACACAAACAAATATAAACAAATACAAAAAACACAAAAAACGAGCACACATACACACTCATGTCCTAACCGACCCGCCGACCCACCGACCCGCCGGCCCCTGTACCTGGTCTCCAAGCACCGCCTTCACAACGGTACCCAGCAGCAAGCTGGACTGGAACAGCGCTGTGGGCACCGGGATGAGCAGCTCCTTCGGCAGCAGGCCAGGGGAGGACTGCAGCAGCCCCAGAACCATCACCGCCATGGACGCGAGCGCGCTCGCCAACGGCCCCGCCGTCGCTACATCCCACAGTGCCGTACGGTCCTTCAAAAGTGACGTGAACGGCGTAATCGTGCCAAAGGACCCCAGCTGCAAGTTCGGGACAAAGTACGACGGGCCGAGCTTGACGTTGCGTACGGCAGCCGCGATGCGGTGCCCGATCTCGTGGGAGAAGTTGATTCCGAGGAGGGAGACGAAGATCGGTACGGCAGTGATGAAGTACGACGTTGGATCCCAATCTTCCAGACCCGGCGGCAGCGCGTCGGAGTTGAAGCTGTCGGCGTTGGCGAAGAACTCCAATGTCTCCCGTGGTAATTTGGTGATGTTCGCGACGAGGGAAAGCTGAAGACACGAAGCCACGAAGAGCATGAAGAGCACTACTGCGGCACCTTGACGCCAGGCGTTGGTTTGTGGCGGCTGAGCCTGAGCTGCGGGCACGATTTGAAACGCAACGCGAGGCCCGAAGGCTGCGGCCTTGCCAATTGGCTCTGCTTCCCCTGGAAGGAGCTCGTCCTCCACCATAATCACTTCGTACTTGCCCTCGCCAAAAAGCTCCGAAACCTTCGCGCAAACATGCGCAAAAACTTTTTCACGGGAGTCGCGGAGGTTGCCGCGGATGAGGATGCCGGATTTGTCCAGGTCCTGCAGAGGTAGCGTTTCGGTGACCCAGAAAGTTTGCGGCCCGAACGCCGCCTCGCGCAAGCGCTTCAGGTCATCCTTGTCGAGTATGTCGTTGCCCTTGCTCATGGCTTGGAGCAAAGTTTCAAATTCCTGACGTAGCTGCTGCTGCTGGGCTTCAACGTTTCCAGGCTTGCTGCTGCGCTGCGCGTCTGCCAGCTGGCGGGCCTTCTCTATTATCTTCTGGAATTGGTCCTCGCTGGCCGATCCGGCGCCGTTGCTGCTACTGGCTCCGTTACCGTTACTGCTGGTGCTTGCTGGGCTGGACATCGTGGTGCGTGGCACATCTGCGGAGGAGGGACTGGAAGATGAGGATTCTCGCACGGCAGTGGAAGACGACTTCGCCGATGACGACGAAGAGGAGCTTGATTTTGGATCATTGGAATCAATTCCAAGCAGCGCGTCTAGTCCCTCCAGTGTGCGCTTTAAACGTTGGTCGGAGGTATCTTGCTCCGTGCTTGCGCGAACCAGCAACGCGCATCGTCTCCCGCCAGGAATATGGGATAGAGGACGCGTTCTATGGCATTGCCCTCGAGGAAAGGGCATGTGCCGGCCAACTAGGCAAGACGCTCGCATATTGTGTGGGCACCAAAAACTTCAGTCTTAATCGTGTGATCTTACAACGCTGTCGATAGATTTCATATAACGAAACCTGATAGCGTAAGTCTAAATGGAAGGGATACGCCACTACTGCAGATGGAAGCCTCGTCTCTATTTTCCGACAACGCAGTGGTACAAATATTGTACTGTCTTCTTTACAATGTATACAGCGCACCGTATTGCAAACTTTCACTGCTAGCTATCATGGGATTTATATGATTGCGGAATGTTCCAAGCGTTGTTATGATAAATATCCATTATGCATATCTTTATGGTGCAATTTCGATAAGGCTACGGTTCACCAGAGCATACAAAGCTTTCAACAAATAGTTCATATGTTCATTGCATAAACTCGCGTCGGCGTTTGCCGAAACACCACACTGCGGGACTGTGATTTACATTGAAGCGTTCTAGACGCTTGTCCCTCAGGGCGCTGGTTATCCATCTTGCGCGTATGTAATATCAAGACGTTAGCTGGCAAGCTGACAGAGGCTAAACCTTCCGCGCCAGTAGCGGCCAGTACCATGGACTCGGATGTGGACTCATTCATCGGCGGGCGCAAGCCGGCACGCGCACCATAGAAAAAGAAGTCAGGGCTAACATCCCTGTGAATGAATCTGGGATCCATTTTCTGGAGCTTGTGGTACCACATAACCATCATGTACCCCTCTACAATACTGACAGTCAGACAGAAAGTTGCAATGGAGCAATCCGAAGAGGGCTGCTCGTTTGTTGCACCCAGCACTGAAGCTCTTACGTCTCCCCTGACGTTTTTCTTGGCAGCTCTACAATATGATACAAGTCACCAACCATTTCCTAAAGAACTTAACATGATTACCTCGCGAAAGCACATGTGTGCGAAACACGCACGTCTTCCCCGTTGTAACACCTGTACTCAGGAGGCAGACTATCTGCCGGAGCTCTCGCGCCTGTCCTCTCGCGTTCATGCCATCCTGCGCGTAGCGACCCATGGGTCATGGTGCCTGCACAACGTATGGCCCTATCCTATCCAAAACACTTGCCTGAAAAGGCATTCCGCCCGCAGTAGGGTACGTTTGGCGCTCGTCAGGGCTCTGCACACGCGCCGTTCGGGCCTGCTTGTTATCTACTACGTTTGGGTCCGATCTTGTATCATGAGACAAACCAGCCAGACCGAGCAGACGGCAGGCCTGTCTAGGATCAAATACAAGTATTAACTGATGATACGCGCCGCTAATGGTGCTGTCATTGTTCCCTCCTCTCAGCAGCACTCATATTCAAACCCAATATGTGATCAGTCTGCATCCAGTGCGCCGCTGATAGCAGAGGCTCCAATGGTGGACGAGCAGCTCTGAGAAGGAGCGCACGAGGGGATGCTATCGTGGGAGAAGCCGAGGGGGCAGTAAGGTCTGTAGGGGACTAGCAGTGAGCTGACCACAGGCATCTTTTTTAGCAGCAGCATTAACACATGTAATACACCAAAACGGTCTGGAAATTTGTCTGGTCCAGATCTGACAATCCAAATGTGTGCAAATGGCTCCGAAGCCTCCTACTCACCACCAACAACAGCATCAGACGTAGGTTCAAGCTCTGTTGTGTCGTCGTGGTTGGCGTGATTGGTACCAGGGATTTATATGTTGTACCTTTTTTCCGTGTTGTACTGGCGGTGCCGGCCGATGACATATGTCCCCCATATGTTGCTGCCGAGAGAAGCCGTACGTTTAGGCCTGCATCATGTGTGCAGCTCTACGTGCAACACGACGCATGCGAGGATGTGCTTCAAATTTGGGATGTGTCTAGCGCGGGGGCGTGCCATCTGGGTTATACGTGTGGTTGTGTCACGGTGGCAATGATCACTGATTTAAGTGTGGCCTCCAGGCTTGAGTGCTATTCAGAGTACCTTGAGGTGTGCTGCTGTAGCTGGTGGCGAAGGATTGCATCCTGTTGCGGCGCAAACGTCCAACATGCTGTACTGCAATGCTTTGTAGGCGGCAAATATCTTTTTTTCAGTTAATCACAGGTTCTCAACAATGGAAAGCACGACTGGAGACTGCCTATTTGGGCTGGAGGCTGCCTATTTGGGCTGGAGCCTGCCTATTTTGGGCTGGTGTATGCCGTACAAATGTCTTTAAAACAAATCCAAGCACCGCAACTTTCCTGTAATCATTTGCCCGCAACCCAGACGTAATAGTATACACAGTAAAGGAGCCCTTCGCCTTGCAGACTACGAGGCCTGGAACTATTAGGGTGCAATCGCGGAACTTGGCTCACAGATTAGGTTGTGCCTTTTGCAATGTACAGCAAACAACAGGAACTACGATTTGTATCGATAGTTTTCCCAGCAGTGAGCTAAGTTGGCGTTCTGCAACGCACTACTTTTCTTCCTCAAGGCAGCTCTGTAGGGCTATTATGCAGGACATACACTCATAAATCCGTTTGGCGTATATTTGCTGAGGACTTACATATTCCAGTCGCCGATTCAACGGGTGCTGCTGCTGCAGCAGTGCGCGGTTAGACCTGAGGATGGGGCCATGGGACAAAATCGTGGAGAATATATCGTCGAACCTCGCTTTTTTTCCACCTCAGCCGTCCACATATGAACTCCGCGAGCACCAGGATGGCACTAGAGAACTGTACATACAACCTGTTGCTCCGTAAGTATACCCATGCTGTTTTATGCCTTATTATGCTCATTCCAGTTAAGTAGATATCAGGCATCTATGGGTGCCTGACAAGGAACTCTTGAGCAAATGGCGCGCGGCGGTCACAAATGTCTGCCCTGCTAACAAGGCATGTGCTTCGTTGGCTACGAAAATGCATCGCAGATAGGTGGCAATGCCTTATGCCTGAGCTTCAAACCTCCATAATCTTAAAAACGCTGCTTTATGCTCACGTTCCTAAGGATAATAACCTGTCTCCCGACCACCGGGCCCCTTTACCATCGTCTTCTTCTTTCCCCGCGCTTTTCTGCGTATTATGAAAACCCCGTTGATCCTGTTGCCTAGCCCCTCCGGCCACCCGTCTCCACCAGCTCCCTTTCTCCTTTCTCATCCTCCTCTCCTCCATCCCCTTTTCCCAAACCTTCTCATATCTCCCCCCAGCGATGTGCCCAAAGTGGTTTCCTGCAAAGTTCGCAAAATACCCGTACCCGAACGAAAACGCGGCGGCGGGGGCACCGAAATCGTCACCGCTTTTTTCCGCTATGGCGAGAGCAGCGCCAGGACGACAGGCAGCAGCCAACAGCATCAGAGGCCAACCATCCTATACAGCCATGGCAACGCGGTGGACCTCGGGCACATGCTACCAGTGTACAGGTATATACATACATGTTTTTACATGCAGGAGCGTGCCACGGGCATAGGGGCTCAGCAGGATTTTGGTTCACTAGATTCCGGGGAAGGTAGAGAGTCGATAGGAGGGACGCATTTTAGCTTAGGGGCTGTTCCGGCTGTTCCGGCTGTTCCTTTCGATCTCTTGCGGATATACTTTCAGATGTATTGATGTATTGGTGATCGGGATTTATTTTCGTTGCATTTGGCATGTACGGGTATGAGAGGTTGCTTTCGGAGCTTGGAATATAATGTTGTTACAGAGTGGTGTGCTAATGGGCCCATTGAACACATTTTCATTTCTACGATATTGGAGTATATGGTTGGGTAATAATGCCGTTGTGGGGTTTACGGGGTGTCGAGCGCTCCGCACCTGAGATGCGGACTTGGACATGGCAGATTGACAGAATTGATGGCCCTTCCTGGGGGCCCTTCCTGGGGGAATTGATGGCCCTTCCTGACAGAATTGATGACCCTTCCTGGGGGATGAGGGTTTCGATCCAGATCTCGATCCAGATCTTGGTCTCGGGTGGAACGGGGGATCTCGTGGGGCTCAAGTGGGCGCCTGGAAGTGGCGGTGGGGTGATGCCTATGTATGCGTATGTATGTATGTGTGTGTACATATGTTTTCGTACAGGTGGGGTATGTTGTGCAGGGCCTTCATCACCCCGGTGACTTTGGACGTCTTGGTACTCTTTTGAATGGTTGGCTTCCTGCATCGCCACCATCATCATTGCCATTATCAACACTGTCATTGTCATCAACTTCATTACCGTCAACATCATTTTCATAAACAGCATTATCATTATTATCATCATCAGCAGCACCATAGGGCTCCTCCACCCGCCACTGGCAAGGACGCTGCACGCTCTCGCCGACCGACCACAATCATGATCATTAAGTTGCCGCCATTGGTACGAATATGCACCGTTGCCGTACAGGGACCTTTCACGCGTCCTGCGAGTCAATGTCATGGGGTACGACTACAGCGGGTACGGCTGCAGTACGGGTAAACCAACTGTAAACAACACGCTGGCCGACATCACGGCGGTGCTGGACTTCCTAAACACAGAGTACAAAATCCCTCCGAACCATGTCGTACTGTACGGCCAAAGCGTAGGCAGCGGGCCGTCGTGCTACCTGGCTTCGGAGCAGCCCAACCTGGCGGGTGTCGTACTTCATTCCCCGTTGCTGAGCGGGATTCGTGTCTTAAAACCCAATGTACGGTGGTGGCCAGCATGGGCGGATGTATACCCCAACCACACACTGGCACATCGGATCAAGGCGCTGGTGCTGGTCATGCATGTGAGTCCGTGCGAGCGTGTGTGTATGTGTGCTTGTCCGTGCGAGCGTGTATGTGTGTGTGTGTGTTTAGAGAGAGCGGCAGGGGCGAGGCGGGGTGGGGCCCCCCCCGGGTATTAGGATGCCGGGAAGGAACCGGGGAGGGCGGGGGGGGAATTGGGTTGGGAGGGAACATGATGACACTCCCCGCCTGACGCGTGTCCTCGCCCCGGCCCGCTCATCCACTCCTCACGCACCCGCCCCACCTCAACCCACCCCTCAACCCACCCCTCTCGCCAGCCCTCACCCCACCCCACCTCACCTCCCACCTCCCACCCCACCCCACCTCCCACCTCACCTCGTAGGGTACCGAGGACGAGGTGATCCACATCAACTGTGGGAAGCGCCTGTGGGACCTGTGTCCCAGAAAGCACCAGCCGCTATGGGCGAGGGGCTTCGGCCACCAGGTAATGATGCGCTGCGCTGCGCAACGGGGCGGTGGCGCTGGTGATGTAGGCGGGCGGGTGGGCCAGTGTAGGCCGGTATGGGCCGGTATACGGTTTTTCCCGACCCTGGAGCCATGGGCACATAATGACCTCCGGAAAAGGGAAATCAAGGCCCGGCCCATCGTCCGCAAATGTACAGCTCTGTGTGGGTGGGTGGGGCGCCGCAGGGACTTGGGAGTCCCCGTTCAGTGCAAGGGGTGGAAGTACGGCGTGTATGCACTTGCCACTTGGGTTACGGACGGGCGATCGGATTGAAGTCCCCGGGGCCAGTGGCAAAGGGGAAAATGGAGTGGACAGACAGACAGACAGACGGATGGACAGAAAGACAGACAATTAGAAATACAGAAAGACAGACAGACACACGTTCGCCTGTCCTAGACACGTACACACATGTCCACGTGGCTCTTCCTATGGAGTATGTCGTACATGTCATCTGCCGGATAGATAGGGAGGTGTGTAAGGAGTGCCCACTTGAGTTTGGTCCTCCCCCGTCCTCCTGGGCCCCTCCTGTCTTTCTTAATTTCAGGACTTGGAGCAATGCTCGGAGTACGAGCCCACCCTCAGAGCCTTCCTGGCTGAGGTGACAAAGACAATCCAGCAGCAGCACCAGCAACAAAATCAGCAGCAGCAGCAGCAGCCGCAGGCGCTCGCACCGGCACAGCGGCAGTAGCAGTAGCAGACGCAGCCGCAGGCCCCAGCGCGACACATCATTAGCTCCGGCATGGGAAGGTGCAGGGAAAAGGAAAAGGAAAGGGGAAGGTGCAGGGAAAAGGAAAAGGAAAAGGAAAGGGGAAGGTGCAGCAGTGTCGCGGGATGTAGCGTAGGTATGTGCAGGGGAAATGGAGGGGAAGGGACACATGGACAGCAGCATACACCTAGGCTGTAGTAGCGGTTCAGGTGGCCGTACTCCATCTCGAGGTGGCAGCACCAGGTGTTCTAAGGATCTGGAGAGGTCTCTACGTACGCACGTATGTATGTACGTATGTGCATACGTATGTATGTGTGTGTTTTGGATGGAAAGTGATCACCAGGACTGCGTGAGAGGAGCTTTTAGCGGAATGCGGTTGCATCGGGTGCTGCGTGTGATTGTGAATGTGTGTGTGTGTAGGTGCGTGTGATTGTGAATGTGTGTGTGTGTGTGTAGGTGCGTGTGATTGTGAATGTGTGTGTGTGTAGGTGCGTGTGTGTGTGTGTGTGTGTGTAGGTGCGTGTGTGTGTGTGTAGGTGCGTGTGTGTGTGTGTGTAGGTGCGTGTGTGTGTGTGTGTAGGTGCGTGTGTGTGTGTGTGTGTGTCTCTGTGTGTATGTCTGTGTGTGTGCGTGTGTGTGTGTGTGTGTAGGTGCGTGTGTGTGTGTGTGTGTGTAGGTGCGTGTGTGTGTGTGTGTGTGTGTGTAGGTGCGTGTGTGTGTGTGTGTGTGTCTCTGTGTGTATGTCTCTGTGTGTGTGTGTGTGCGTGTGTGTGTGTGTGTGTGTGTGTGTGTCGTGGGAGGCTAAAGGATCATCCGAGCAGCAGGTGGTGGCTCTGACCAGGGGCAGTCGGGGGAGCGCTCCGCCTTGGGTGTGTGTGCCTGCATCATCGTTCAGCAGCACGTCATGGTACGTAAGGTGGTATAGCTCTGAGCTGTGCACCTTGTCAGGGCCTTCCGCAGGGGGCTTTGGGCGTGTGTGTTTTGCCGTCGTCGTACCACGACGCTTTCGTCATCCTCCTCTCTTTCTTCCGCCTCCAAACGGAGCTACGTGAGGGGCGTTTCGGAGAGGTGTCGAGACAAGGAACGTGGTGTCGAGAAGGTGTTTTGGCGAGCGTCGGGGGGTTGCATTCACATAGGGGTCACATAGCCACAGCAGTTGCTGCTGCAGCAACGGTAGCGGTAGCAGAGGCGTTGGCGATGGGGCAAGAATATTACATCAGGGGCAGGGGTGGGGCGGCGGAGGCTGCTGTGCAGTGGGGCAGTAGCAGCAGCTGCTGCGGCAGGGGCAAGGGCAGGGTTGGTGGGGGCTGCAGCAGCAACAGCAGTAAGTAGCTGCGGAGAGCGCAACAGAGGCTGCTGCTGCTGCTGCGGCTGTGGCGTATCGGAGGTGGTGGACCAGTAGACGTCTTAGCCAAAGAGAGCTCGAATGGGGGAGAGATCTCTTCGCATGTTGCATCGGACAAGCAGCAGTAGCAGCAGCAGCAGCGGGAGAGACGTGGCGGCACCAGTAGTCATATAAACGAATGCGACAAGAATGCGACGCGATGCAGGATTTGGCCTCTACGGCTCCTTGGCTCCGCCCTCGAAAGGTACTGAAACCGCGCCGAAACCGCACGGAAAGGAAAAAAAGCAGCAGCAATAACAGATTCGAGCGCCTCCGTGATAACAGCCGAACGGCGGATTCCACTGCGGTGTTGCTGGTGGTGGTAGATGTGCTGGCGCATGAATGTTGGCTTCATGACGATAGGTTGGTTCCATGGGTTCCATTTCTCGTACGAACGTACGGCGAAGGATGGACATGGAATCCTAAGTCATCTCAAGTGCAGCCCTAAGTGAGTCGAGTGCCTCTTTCTAGCCCTGGGGTTTACAATAAAGAAGGGGCGAGAGAGATTGAGAGAAAGGGAGAGAGGGAAAGATGAGGGTTCAAATGGCTCGCGCCAGCGCCAACAACTAGCAGTTTGGAATGATTGGGGTGATTGCAGTTTGGTTTTCGGGGGGAGTGCGTGGAAAAAGCGGGTGGTTTATCGCCAATGTAAGGAGTGAAGGGGGGAGGAATGGGGGATGGTGGAAGCCCAACGTGTCTCGTGATTTGTACACGGCATTTTCAAGCGGGGTACGACGTTTCCCAAAGGCTGCAATGTCTTGTGCTTCCATGAGCAGTCGTGTTGCCAAATAAAACTACAAAACGAAAAAAATGGTTAGGCGTGATATGTCTATATGAATGTGAGATTATGTGTGTTCAGGCGAGATGGAAAATGCGGACAAAAGTTTTTTTTTCAGAATTCTGCATGACCGTGGTTGTAACTTGAGGTAGTGAGGTCAAGCTAAATCATGTTTGGTGTGTGCCTAAATAAGCCAGGCCCTACAATAAGTGAGTGCCAGAAACAAGGCGATGGATGGTACCGTGGTTCAGAATCCCTTTCTGACTTGGGCTTGGGGCATACTGGTTTTGCCGAGAAGAGAGAGATGCACCAAATGTACGGCGCAGGCAGGCGTGGGCTGTAGTCTAATGATGGGTGCCTCACCAGGGGTGCCTAATTAGGAAATATGGGTACTTTTTCTAATGTTTTGCCTTCTGAAAGCGGGCGGTTAATAACGGAAGGCGGGTCATGCATCCGGCGGGTCAGGTTAATGATTTGACCAATTGATGGTCCTAAAATTTGGCATGTCGCTTGCACAGAGCAACACGATGTTTTCGTGTGTGTGTGGCCTGAGGTGTTGCCTAATTAAGACTCTCCATCATCTTCTTCTTTTCCTCTTCCAATGCCAGCTGCGTTGTGTAACTTTTGAAAAAAATACATACTTCCTTTTCTTAGACAGACACCGCCGCCGCTGCTGCTGTGCGGGCCGATGTAGCTACGTTGAGCTACGCAAGTTGATGATGCCGGAAGAAGGTACACGCATGCACGCGTGTGTACGTATGTATGTGTGGTTGTTACAGTGGGCTCCAGACTCGTGAAGAGAATGTATTACGTATGTATGTATGTATAAATGTATGTATGTATACGTTCAGGTGTATGTGTATGTATGCGCGTATTATGGTATTAGGGTTCAGATATACCCCAGGTACGATATAAGGCCCCCAGAGGGGCACCGCAGTGAAGTGGGAGTTCTCGGGGGTCATTGAGGGGTTTTGTTTTACGTTGTTTGTCCGCGCGTATGTAAGGTTATCTAGGTGCAACAGGCTGGGTGGGGGCGAAAAACATATGTATTCTTTTGTGGGTTCCGCATCTGTGGATGTGCGAATGTGGACGCGCGTGCAAGTAGTGGCTGGATGGCGAACGTAGGCAGATTGAAGTCTAGCAATAAACGTACATACATACGTACATACATACACACGTAGCGCTGTTCGTGTGCTGGATTGACTTCTGTGTGTTTTGGGCGCCGCCGGACTTTCGGCTGTCGGCAGGTTTGAGGTACTGACCAGCGGAGGGCTGTTTTTCCTTTCCGTATTTTATCTTCCCATTACGTCCACCATGGTGCATATCATAACAAAAAGGCCCATATACAGCGCCCGGGGCTTGCAAAGGCCTGCTGTTGTGGTGAAGGCAACAATCTGCTACCCTTACATGTCGTAAGACTGGGCGGGGGGGCGACGACACGGTTCGCGGAATAGCGACCCACGGGTCTGCCTAACAACCTCTTACCCATACAGCCTGCAGCAGTAACGGCAGCACACAATATGCGGTCAGCAGCAGCAGCACAGAATTAGTTCGGAAGGTCAACAAGGGCTGTATTTAAACATAGCGGCCAGCACTTGCGCATTTCACAGAAGCGTTGAAGAAATCGCTGCAGCATCTGGTCCCTGATCTGGCTGGATCTGATAGCGGCAGGCCATCGATAAGGGGCCTTCACCTATATACGATGGCAGCAAGCAGTATATAATTTTGCCCAGTGGTAGAGGGCTCGTGATCTTGATAAGAATGGTAACACTCACACCCTGATAAACGACGGCAAACGACGGCGATGATGAGTCAGTATGATCAAATGCGAAGAAAGGAGAAGGTGTAGAGACAGGATAGCGTTTGCTCACATCACCATCAAGCAAGGAATGTATCTTAATTTTGTCCAATCATCTCTAAAGATATAATGCCGCTTGAGCGTGCTCTTAGCGGGCCGTAATTTTCCGATGGGCATTTGATGGCTTTGCGGAATTGCAAATTCCCTTCCAGCGCTTTCGTGCCTACTTGTTATCATAAGTCTGCGCTAAAACCGTATTTCAGTTCATTTTTGCTTGTGCAAAGTAAAGCCTAGTAAACCCCTTTGCATGTTCAAATCTTGTAACTGTGCTTACCGAGGGCCTTCCGTCAGTTCCGCTTATCGCTCCTGTAAACATATTAGTGTGAAAATCATCTTAACAGAACTTCCAGAAATCATTACGTAAAGATAGCTCATAGTACAAATAAGTAACAGCAGTTAAATGCCTCTTGACCTGAAGTCTTTGGGAGTCGCAGCGGGGATTGATGCCGCGGTGGCAGCCATCTGCTTAACAGCCTTTACGGTGCTGCGGAGCGCTACAAAATATACAAGACGGTTTTACGAGCCACGCAGGTACTGACGTAGACGTTTGACGTTTTTGTGTTACAAGCTTTCGAGCTTGTACGGTCCAAACGAGCCAACGTAGGTGTGTCCTTGGGTCGTCGTTGAATCGTTGGTTCGTTGCCGCGCAACACAAACGCGCCACGTCGTCCTTTGTGTTCGCTGTGCCCATAGGGCCCCCTCGCTGTGCCTCTCCTCCTTATATTTGAGCCGTTTGAGCTCATGTCTGAGATTTTCTCTTCCTGGCACTTTACCTTCCATCCTATTCCGCAGCCCGTTAATTGTTTAGCGTTTGGCGTTTGACAGTTAGCAGTTGACCCGTGTTTCGCCCCTTGCTGCATACGATTCATAAAACCCCGGTGTCCCCCCGGAGTCAAATATGTTTGTTTATTTTGCTCCGTACTTCCCTGCGTCGCAAATCCGCTACTAGGGGTACTAAACTGTTTTATTAATCCCAAAGGTAATTTTTTTAATTTTTCAAAGTTTTTATCTTCTATTCGAAAGATTGTTTATTCAAGTGATTTTTTCCTTTTTTATTCACAATGTTGTTTTTTCCGGACCCAAACCCTTCAGGTACTCTTCCGAGATCCGCCCTCCTTCGCGCCCGCCCCGGTTGCGGTGGTGGTGTTGGGCTGGGCAGCTGGCGAGGGTGCGCCGCGAGAGGCTGTTGGCCCTGGCGGGAACGGATGGCGTGCAGCACCTGAACCTGCTGAAGTTAGGTACGTGTGATGTGAGTTTGTCCAATAATGCGTTTGTCATTAGGGTCCTCCTCACTTTTTTCAAAAATTCCTAAGGGCGTTAGAAGCTCCGAAATAAACATGCTTTTTAATGCTTTTTTTAACCAATGGATCGTAACCATAACTTTTATCCATTCCAAAAAAAGGATTTAGGAGGATTTATTTTGCGCAAGAATGGGTTAGTGGGTACGTTGGATGGCGACGGCGGCGGTATATGTATAATAGCGTCCAGGGGCGTCCGTCAGGTTTTAATAGACGGGCCCCCGCACTCGTGCGTTCAATTAGTAACTTATAAATCTTGTATTAAGGCGGAAAACGAAACGTAATGCCCGCGTTCATTAAGGCACACATAGTCCGATGGCGGTTATATGGCGGTAGTTGTGGTAGTTAAGGTAGTTGGGTTGCATGCGTATCGGGGGGGGGGGAGAACGGGAGAGACAAACACGCGTTTGTTCCCAGGCTCACCAGCCGGGGTGGCTTGGATCGTACACATCATCACCGAGCTGGATTCTAGGGTTTTACTATTTGATTGAGCAATCAGCAATCTGTCAAATTTCAAAACTGGGCAAAGTCGCGAACTGGCGATTAACGAACTTCCAAAACAAGCGTGTACGGCATATGCAGGTCTCCACATGTTTCTGCTGCTCTCTGTCTGGTGCCTGGGGGTGGTTCTCCCAGTCAACATGTCGGTACGTACGGCAAAACTGCCATGTCGTACTTGTCGTACATGATGTAATATTGGCTGTTGCAGCTATTGTAGCAAAACATGGTGTGCAGTCAAGAGGACAAGAATTTTAAAAAATTTATTTCGCCTTCGCCTTCAACTTCTGACGTCGTATGATGATATATGATGATGGTACGGCAGATGGTACAGCAAATAAAACAAAGCAGGTGACGTCACGCCACGTAAACATCACGTCATGTCGTGTTGGCGTCATGCAGGGCAAAGAGGTATCTCGCCTGCTGAAGGGTCACGTCCCCGCCGCCGCCGACACCACCAACACCACCAACACCACCGCCACCGCCGCGGCCGCAGCCGCAAGCACCCAAGCCGCCGCCGCCACCGCCGCCGCCCAAGCCGCGAGGGACATCGCCGTAGCTAGCGTCCTGGACAGCTTTACTACAACCCCAAAGCCCAAGACCGGGCAAACTTGGCCCTCTTCTTCCCCACCCTCCTCCCCCTCAACACCCTCCCCATCCTCTTCCTCTTCATCTTCGTTGTCATCATCATTACCATCATCATCATCATCGTCGTCGTCGTCGGCGGCGGCGGCGGCGGCGGAGTCTCCCCTAGGGGTTGCTTCGCTTCCTGGCACGCCCGGATCCGGATCCCGGTAGGTGTGTGCGTATGTATGTCTATGTGTGTGTATGTGTGTATGTACGTGTGTGTGGCCCCGGGGGCGCGGGGGATTTGTTTCGGGGGGGGGGTTGAGGGGGGAATCCGTTATCCATTATTCGTTATTAGTTGTGGCCTCCGTTATCCGTTCTCCATAGTCGTTAGTCCGTTATCCATTAAACCTCCAATACGTCATAACAATGTTGGCTTCATTGCGTTGCGCCCCACCCGAACTTTTACAGGTACGTGCTCAGCGACCTCGACCTCCTCAGCCTTGCCAACATAAGTCCGGGAAGTCGCCTGATGTGGGTTCACCTCGCCTCCGTGTACGTGGTGACCGCCGTGACGCTGATGGTGGGTGCAAATGTCACGTCGTTCAAGGTTGCGCACGCAGGTTGTGATGAGGTGCAATGGATGGGTGTTGTGTCGATGGTGGGTGCAACAACGAAAGTGAAAACCACCTCAATAGTAAAGATCCCAGAACGTGCATGTTTCCATATGAATGTTTCCAGATGGGGTCGAATGCATATTCTTTCGATCGGAAGGAGTGAATTTTAAAGTTTACGATCCGTGCTTCTTCTGTCTTCAAGGAGAAGAGGAGGTTTCTTGCAAACAAGACAACCGCAAAACCGTCAAAAAGCTAAAATTATTAAACCCTAAAACCCAAACATTGCCATGCAGGTGCTCTGGCGACAGAGTCGGGAGGCTGTAGCTTTACGGGTGCTGTACGTCACACATTCAGCCCCGGGGGACAGCTCCCACACTGTGCTGCTGCGAGACATACCGGGTAGCTGGGGGTTCGGGGGTAAACAGCCCTGGGACAGCGGGCTTGTTTTAGGTTTTATTTCTTGTTTTTTTAATTTGTTTTTTTTGGGGGTTTTTATTGTCTTTTTGGGTTTTTTTCTTTGTTTTTTGGGGGTTTTTTGGGGGTTCTGTGGGGCCTTCTACAGATGCAATCCGACGATGTGCGCCCCCAATACACCGTGCCCCAACAACCAGCTACACACACCTGTGCCTGTGTGTTATCTACCAGGACTTGAGTACGGCACCTTTCAACATTCTGTACGGCATTGGCTGGCCAGCTCCGTATTGGTTCGCTTCCTGCCGCGGCGGCTACGGAGGGTTTTGGGTGCAGCCGCACTGCGGCTTGTTAGGAGCTCGCAAAACAGCATCACAGCGGCCAGTAATTTGGCCACCAGGTGGGCTGTTTTAGATGTAAAGAAGAAGAAGAACAAGAAGGTGAAAACAAAGGGGATGGGAACAAAGAAGATGGGAACTAAAGGGAATGGCTTCCCCCCTTCTTGTTAAGATGAAGCCGAAGGGGGAACCTTTGGCATCCCCTAAAGGGGAACTAAAAGGGGGGGGGTTGAAATACTAAAACCCGCAGGTTACCTACGGCCAAGGCGTGGATGGTAAGATTGGTTTTAAACTTTCGAATATTAAAAACCCAAATTAATGTGAGCTGCTAACGGCGTGTGAGGATGTAGGGTAACTTAACTTTTAAAGTTATGTGATTTGCCGTACCATTAGGTACCTGGATCGCCTCGATGCCGTACTTTCGACACCTCCTGCCGTACAGCATCCGAAAAAGGAAAAGATTGCAGCGCCTGGAGTTGGTGGCGTTAGCGGCGATGGTGTTGGCAGAAGCAGCGGTGAAAGCGGCTGCAGCGGTGACGGCGGCGGCAGCGGCGGTGGCGGTAACGGCGGCGGCGGTGGCGGCGGCGGCGGCGGCGGGTCCACAGAAGCCCCATCCCGACTAAGGGACCGTCGAACTGCTGCTGCCATAGTTACTAATGCCGCCGCCGCCGCCACTGCCAGCGGCGGCGGCGGTGGCGGCGGTGACGGCGTCAGCGTGGCGGAGCCAGGGGACGATGATGGCGGCGGTACGGCGTACGACCGTGGTGGTAAGAGCGCTCGTCCAACGACCGTCCATCACAGGTCCCGACCCTCCCCTTCAGCATCACCGTTGCTGCTGCCACAACTGCCACAACCGCCTCAACCGCTACAGCCCCTCCGGTCAATGCAACAGCTACAACCTGGAGCATCAACCTCGCCTTGGCTTTCTCCTCCACCGTCGCCGCCGCCGTCGCCGTCGCCGCCGCCGTCGCCGTCGCCGTCACCCACGCCGGCTGCCCAGACTGCTGCCGAGTCGCCCACGGCGGATTTCCGTCGACCTCTTCTATTGCCGCAACAACGCCGCCGCTGTAGCAGCAGCAAGAACAATAACGGCAGTAGCCGAGAAGCTGTCATCGTACCTACCAGACAACGTAGTGTACGACAACAGCACCTGGAGCAGCAGCAGCAGCAGCAACAACAGCAGGAGGCCCGCTGGGAGCTATCAGCGGCCCCGGGGTGGGCTCCCGGACGGGGCGTGCCTATCAGCGGGTGGTGCCGCGCTGGGAGGATGTTGCAAACCCTGGATGTGCCGGTGAGGGGGGTTGGGGGGGTGAGGGGGGGGTAGAGGGATGAGGGGGGTTGGGGGGGAATGTGGAAAAAATCTCTGGATTCTGCCATTTTCAGAGTTCTGTCAATTGTAGTCACCATTTTTGTTTTAAGGGTGGTGCATCAACGCTAGGATGATTTGTATCTTGTTACAGTTGACTTCGTTGACCATCGCGATTTGGAATTAGATTTCCAAAATGACGGAAAATGATGAATGATTAGGAGTACATGTGAATGATGGTGATCACAGGCCTTCATTGTAAAGGAGATGGCGGAGGTCTTCCCGCCTTGTCGGCTGGTGGCGCTCCATGTCGTACGGGACGAGCGCAGCCTGGCGGGTCTCGTACAGCAGTACAGTACGACAAAACGGTCTCTGGAGGATCTGATTGATTTTTACGCAGCACGCCTCGCAGCGGGACGGCGTGTGCGCAGGCGTCAGGTTGGTTAAGTCGGTTGGGCGGGTATTTGGACGGGTGGGTTGGTTAGTTGGAGGTCATCCTGTATGATGTGTGAAACAGGGGGGTGTATCTTCGCCCGTGGCAGCTACCCGGCGAAACCCTGCCTTATCCGGTATTTAGGGGCACCCTCATCCAGTCACCCTAGCCAACTTCTCAGTGGATCGCTCAGGTTCCGCACCCACCACTAGCATCCAACGGAATCTGCCGGATCGACGGCGGCCCAACTCCATTCTTTGTCAGCTCGCAAGTCAACTTTATCCCTCTTTGCCATCTACCACCGGAAGGATCATCAACATTAGTCAGGTCTCAGTACAGGATCTCTCTTAAGACATTGGTAAATGATCCATCATTAGAGTTTAACCTATGAGTAAAACAAGATGTGGAATTTACCGGGTTCGAACCGGTGACCTCACGCATGCAAAGCGCGCGCTCTACCACTGAGCTAAAACCCCTAATGAACATTTACTGCCTCCTAGGTACATAGATCATAAAGTAAGACATGTTGCTATTTGACACCTCCGGTTGTAACTCCGGGACTAATCATTAGGGTAACCTGGGGTTTGGGGAACTTCCTAAGAAACTTTCTCCCCCTTTCCAACTCCCTCCTCATCAACTCCCCACACCCACCTGCGAGGGGGGACAGGTGCGGGTACTAGGACCTCTGCTCGGCCAATGGGGAGTGGACCTGTACGGTGTACGACCCATACGTGTGGACGAGCTGCTGCACCTGCGCACACGTCTAGAGGTTCTGTACGAGCAGTTACGGGCTGGGCTGGCAAAGGTGGACGAGCTGCCGTATGTTCCAACGGCCTTCCTGACCTTCGGGTACTTTGGCCTTTACAGTTGTACACACATGCCTCCTGCATGTGTGTATTTTCGCGTTTTCGCAAACGGCAAAAAAAACGTGACTCCCTAAATAGAATAATTAATGATAACCTCTCCCTCCCACAATTTCCCCTAAGTTCCCCTAAGTCCGGCAGATGATTTCCCGAGTTTCGGTGTACGGCAGGGGAAAGGAAATTGGGGCACAGCAGCAGATGGACATGCAATAATATAACAGTGGTGACTTTGCAAACCCCTAACTGCCATCAACCCATGTCGTGCGTGTACGACGTTATCGTGCATTGCATTCTACTTGCCTTACTTGTGGCTGGCTGTCGTACATGTTTCGTTTTGTGCACTCGTAGTCGGCGCTGGGACGCCGCTGTGGTGTCTACTGCACTTCATGACCGAGACGAGGCCTTATGGCGGCCAACACCCGCCCCCCACCCTGGAGAGCTGCTGTGGGGCAACCTGAGATTGCGGCTGTGGCAGATCAGCTGGCGTACTGCAGTCGCGCGTACGGCATTCATGGCTCTGCTGTTGTCGTACACGGTGCCTGTGTCAGCGTTGCAGGGGCTGATGCAGGTAAGGAAGGCATGTCGGATGTATGTATGTCGTTACAGGGTGGTATAGCTTCACCAGCGGCCCCGTTTCCCTTGGAGGCAGTTCCCTGCTCTCCCCTGCGAGAGGGGCACCCTAATCCATTCACCACATCCGATTTCAGAATGTATCTGTACGTATGTATGTCAGGAACTGTGTTTTATGTATTTGCATCTTCATTACCCTTCTCTTGAACCTCTCGGAAACATTTAGCTCTGTTGTTTGTATCTGGGTGGTCTTGGCCGCGTAGGAACCCTAAAACCCCAAAAGCCAGACTCAGTTTTCACTAACGGTCCCCTGTTCCCCCCTTTTCCCGGAAACTGGGGCCGCCTCCGTTTGCCAGCTACGGCGCCTGGAGCGGCTACCCGTTGTGAAGGTCATTGTACGGCTGTCCGTCGTACGCAGCTTGCTGTCCGGGCTACTGCCGGGTGCCGTACTGCGGCTCTTCTTAATGCTACTGCCGGCATTGCTGTCACGACTAGTCCGTTGGGCCGGTGCCATCAGCCTCAGTGAGGTGGACTTCCGTACAACCACCTTGGCGTTTGACTTCCAGGTAAGGACCTGCCGTACGAGATTTGAGCTGTAATGCTTTGCCGTACATGAAAGAACCGAAATATCTTTTTACATCGCTAGAAGGGGTCATTGCTCCGGGGTTGTGAGTAATTTTATTTTCTGTGCATTTGTTCGAGTACATTAAGCACTAACATTCCACAGTCGGTTCGACGTTCCCTTTGGTCCATTCGCTTCTACATTGAAACCCACATCCCCCACATCGGCCCCCCTGGACTACCCGTCTATCTTGGGTATCTGCTCCATCCGCCAATGGTTCGTCTTACTCCCCACACACATACAAGTCCCATCACCACATTCCCCGCATCCCCACATCTTCCCCCCAACCCCAACCCCACTCCTTCCCCTCACATCCCCAGGTGGTTGCCGTATTCCTGGCCTCTCTCCTGGCGGGTGCGCTCCTAAACCAGATAACGGAATTCGTTGCCCAACCGGGCCAGGTGCTGACGGTGCTAGGCACCGGAGTGCCGCAGACGGCGTCTTTTTTCATCGCCTACATCCTGTTTAACGTACGTGCGGCTGAGTATGTGTGTTTGTGTGTACGTGCGTTTGTATGTACGACGTGCAGGTCAGAAAATGGGCTGAAAAAGGAAAGCAGGATTAAGTTTTGCACATGACTTTCATCGTGCTGTCTGACCCGGGTGCGAACGGTTGTCAAGGCAGTTAGGGCAGGTAGTGTGTTGTTAGGCCAGTTAGGATCGTTAGAGCAGTTAGGGTCGTTAGAGCAGTTAGGGTTGTTAGGGCAGTTAGGGTTGTTAGGCCAGTTAGGGTCGTTAGGGCAGTTAGGGTTGTTAGGGCGTTGTTAGAGCAGTTGTTAGGGCAGTTAGGGCAGCACTACTTTTTCTGTGCGGCTGCGTGGATATGTGCGGCGGCTGCACGTGCCTGCCTGCCTGCCTGCCTGCCTGCCTGCCTACCTGCCTGCCTGCCTGCCTGCCTGCCTGCCTGCCTGCCTGCCTGCCTGCCTGCCTGCCTGCCTGCCTGCCTGCCTGCCTGCCTGCCTGCCTGCCTGCCTGCCTGCCTGCCTACCTGCCTGCCTGCCTGCCTGCCTGCCTGCCTGCCTGCCTACCTGCCTGCCTGCCTGCCTGCCTGCCTGCCTGCCTGCCTGCCTGCCTACCTGCCTGCCTGCCTGCCTGCCTGCCTGCCTGCCTGCCTGCCTACCTGCCTGCCTGCCTGCCTGCCTGCCTGCTTGCCTGCCTGCCTGCCTGCCTGCCTGCCTACCTGCCTGCCTGCCTCACCTGCCTGCCTGCCTGCCTGCCTGCCTGCCTGCCTGCCTGCCTGCCTGCCTGCCTGCCTGCCTGCCTGCCTGCCTGCCTGCCTGCCTGCCTGCCTGCCTGCCTGCCTGCCTGCCTGCCTGTGTCGTGAATTTGCATGCGAGATGCAAGCAAGCATGCATGTATGTACGTACGTATAATGTCTGTGTATACATCTGTCTGCTCATCTGTGTACGTCTACCGATATTTTTCTCCCCATTTTATTTTGTTTTGTTTTAGTTTTTTCCGCCTCCCCCTTCCCCTGGTCCACCTGAACAGGCGTGCTCGTACACACACACACACATACAGATCTCCCTCCCACCTCGCCACTCACGCTTCCCCTTTCCCTAACTACTCCCAACCTCCAACGGTCCCAACGACAAACCGACAGGGCCTGGTTGTTGGGCCTCTGGGATTTCTGCGGCCGTTCGCTCTGTTGACTTTGGCGCTCCGAAACCGTTTGGTAACAACTCCGAGAGCCCGAGCCCGGTTATGGGAGGCCCCTGAGGCGAGATTCGCCCACAGCGTGCCACATCATAGCCTCATGATACTGCTGGGTGAGGAGGTGGTTACGGTGGTTGGTAGTTGGTTGGTCGGTTGGGGGTTTTGATGTTGGGTATTGGCTTAGATGGGCAGATTGGGAAGCAGTCGTGTCGTCTACCTTTCTAATATTGATACATGATGTGGAGCGGAAAGGGGTATACTGATGTTTGGGAGTAGGTTTTTTGTTTGGGACTGTTTGGACAGTTGGATTGGTTATTTTTGGGGATAGTTGTTAGTTGGGCTGGATTGGTTGGGGGTTGGTTCGTTGGGTACGAGGGTTGTTGCAGTTTGGTGGTTTGCAGTCGGTGGTTGACTTTTGAGCAAATGGCCGAGTGAATGGTAGCTGGCTGGCTAGGGATGGACCGATTTAATTCTCTAACCCCAACTTCACGTCTTTGTTACAAATTTATATACATGCATACATATGCAACACATATACATATACATATACTGATGTACATATACTGATATACATATACTGATATACATATACATATACATATACTGATGTTTGGGAGTAGGTTTTTTGTTTGGGACTGTTTGGACAGTTGGATTGGTTATTTTTGGGGATAGTTGTTAGTTGGGCTGGATTGGTTGGGGGTTGGTTCGTTGGGTACGAGGGTTGTTGCAGTTTGGTGGTTTGCAGTCGGTGGTTGACTTTTGAGCAAATGGCCGAGTGAATGGTAGCTGGCTGGCTAGGGATGGACCGATTTAATTCTCTAACCCCAACTTCACGTCTTTGTTACAAATTTATATACATGCATACATATGCAAATCCTTACATAAAGCAAATGTTTTGCAAAACTATCTTTCCCCCTTTCGTTTCCGCAGCCCGCAGGCTGGGCTGTCCACTCAACTGTCCGTTCAACTACCGAACTAACCTTACCATATCCTGGTCTCTCCTTTCACCCTGTACGGCATATTCGTGTACGACAGGTTTGTCGTACAGCCTGGTAAACCCGCTGATAGCGCCCGCCTGTGTGGTGTATTTTGCGATGGTGGGCCTTATGGAGCGCTACCAGCACTGCTACTGCTGGAGCAGGCCGTACGAAAGCGGCGGGAAAATGTGGAGCCAGGTCAGTACGACATTGTACACCGGTACGGCCGTGCATCAAAATTCGTTTAGTATGTACAGGCATGTGGAATGGTGGAGTGTGAATCCAAAAGGTGGTTGCAATATGTTGAGAAGACATCGAAGGCTTCATGTCCCACTCCACAACAAGCAACCACCTAACTGATCTTTGGCGGTAGTTTAAAAAGACTGAATGTATTAACCGGCTAACGAACTAACTGAAATGGATATGACGTGTAACGAGCCAAGAAACGTTTGGCACATCGAGCCTTGTGGTACGTTTGGTCGTTATGTGTACGGCACGCGTGTGTGGATGACGTGTGTACGGCATGGCGCAGGTGTTTCGACACGTGATGGTGGGTCTATACACGTTTCACGTGGTCATGCTGGCGTTACTAGTCATCAAGAAGTTCCCCTTCGCGCCGCTGGTGCTTCCGGCGCCGCTGGGCGCCGCGGCCTTTCATCGACAGCTCCACTCCTTGTACCGCCGCCCCTGGAGCAACCTCTCCCTTCGCGACGCCGCTGACCTCGACGCTATGGACGAGCAAGAACAGGATCGGCTGTACGGCAGAAATGGCAGCGGCCGTAGCGGTGGCGGTGGCGGTGCCGTACAAGGCGCGACGCGATGGGTTGACGGAGGTCCAGGTAGCACGGATGCGGTGCTAGTGTACGGCGATGACGATGATGACGGCAGAAACTGGGAAGGGGAATGCCTGGCGGCGGCGGCGGCGGCGGCGGCGGCCGGGAGTCGGAGCGGCGGGGCGGCTGAGGAAGCACCGGCGCCATCGGGCTCACATGCTGCGGCTGTACGGCTGCCGCGACAGTGCGGTGCTGCTAAGGACGTTGGCAGTGGTGGAGGCGCCAGCGCCGGCAGTACGG